TTAATATATAATATCTCGTTCGATGTTAGATGCTTAATTGTGGACGATCCATAATATTCTATGGTATGTTAGGCGGTTGATAATTGAGAGTTTACAATCATATTAATGGAAAAATCGGCTTCCATAGAATTTTTACGTTAGTAAATTTAATTTTAACGATGTTAAAATATGAATGGGAAATTTATTTGCAGCATGTGAGTCGAGAGAAGAACAAAATGACGGACCTCTTAACGTCATTGAGTACTCATGGAAAATCAGTTGGAGAATTCCTTTTTGAACCACCGAACATAGTAATTATGCTAGGTTTTTAAGAGACTGTTAACCTCTAAGATGAACTAAAAAAAAGATTAAATGGGAATCATACACTGATAAGGGAAAACTAAGGTCTCAATACAAGATTCAAGAATGATGAGTTCAAAAAGGATTATGGGGCATATTGAGGCGGAGTCTTTATGGAAGCTACAAAATTGTTTGGCGGGAACGATAGCAACAACATGTAGTTCTAATTGGTGCGGAAATTTGGTAATTAAAATCAAGAATGTATAACTGTGCAAATAGGGGTGTAAAAGAAGATATTTGTTCGACGAATTGTTTGTGAATCCTTCGTATAACATTCATACATATTCGTTTATTAAGTTAAATAAACATGTATGAACAAAATTTTTATATTCATTTAATAAACAAAAGAACACAAATAAATGTGTGTTTAGTTTATTTACGTTCACGAACAAACTCTTTTATAAGCTCGTATACTGACTCCTTTACTCGGTTTTCCTTTTCCGGAAAAGGATCCTTTTATTTTTTTACATTTTAAATATGGATAATTTCATCATTTTCTTAGGACTTGTAAATAAAAAGATAAAAAAAGAGTGTTAGTTGACCAAAGGAACATATTCGTGAATATTAAATTAAACATACTCGCGAACGCTAAATGAATGAACATGAATATCTTCAAAAATAAATAAACGAACACGAATATTATATTAAAAATTCAAATGAACATGAACCGAATATAAATATCTTAAAAATAAATAAACAAACATAAAAATAACTTTTTTTTCATTCAATCTCGATTAATTTATGCACATATGTATAAACTATTATAGAGCAGGAGTGGTCCTACCTTAAGGAGGTGTTCATGGAGGTAGTGTGCTTCATGCTGAGCCAGATGAGTGTGACGTCAAACTCAGGAGAGGATAATGATCCTATGAAGTGTTTTTGGCAGGCATGCAGCCTATTAATAAAAAGAGAGATAGGCCTAATTGGGTGTGAATCATTTCTATAAGGTCAAATGAAGTTTTTATGCCGAGATTGGTCTTGAACGATTGATATATGCAGTACTGCTCCAGCCTTGGAGGATGTAACCTTATGGGCCTCGAGGCTAATGAGAGGCTATCATCAGAATTATTTTGAAAGGATTAACATTGAACTTTGAAATGATTGAACACAAACCAAATGATTTTTAGTAGTTAAGGGAGTTATTGTTATTCTTTGAAGTCGTAGGTTTAAGCACTACGTATATAGGAATATAAGCTTTTATTATCAAAGGGTTAAAAATCTTTGAATATATTATTATCTTGTATTATTTCATATTTATAATTTTTCTTGAAATGTTCGACTATAAAAATATTTTAAGTGGTACAAGAATGATGCATGCATCGAGGGTAAAGATATATGTTAACATGCCGATGAACTTTATTTCTTATAAGGTCTAATAATTTGTTTTAAGCATTGGAACATCGTGATTTAAGAGACCATCAAAGATGTAGAGGTACAGATTTTTAAGCAATTGAACATCGTGATTTAAAAGATCATCAAAGATATAAAGATAAATATTCGAAGATTCAAGATTTTAAACTCAAAAAATTAGAACATTGGATCACCGAAAGATATTTCGATAATTTTTCACCTTGGATGCTAATTTAATATTTTATTACATAAATGCTATTTTTTAATTATTTTTATTCCACTTGCATGTGAGGCTATTAGTCCATATTTAATTTACAAAAATATTTTATTAATTTATACGGAGTGGATATAATTATAAGTACATCTAAAAAATATATAATTAGAAACAAACACCAAAGCATGACTTAAAATAATCTAGATATGAACTCATATAAAGAGGTAATACAAAAACTCACGCGTGTAGATTAAGTGTGTTAATCTTGCCATTGAGCTATATCTCATTACTATTTATTTTGTTATTATCAAAATACAATTCAACAATACACACCAACATTCCTAGCTGTAATTTTGAATTTCACAAACAAATTTAGGTGACATCAATGCTTCTTTTAGTCTTCCACAATTAGCTTATCGTTGCATTTCTCTTTCATTTAGCTTAGAAAAGATATATCATCTTTAAAAAGGAGAGAGCCATTGTCTCTATAAAAATTAGTTTAATGATTCACATCATTAACGGTGCTTATCCATACTCATCAGACGTGATATCATCATCATTTTAAGATCATATATCATCTTTAAAAAGGAGAGAGCCATCGTCTCTACAAAAATTTGTATTAGTTTAGAATATCAAGTTAAAGGTTTAGGGTATTTTTTTATAGATAAATTTAGGTATGCTTCTAGTCTAGTTTTTGTTTCTGATAACTTGATATAATTGATTTTAAATTTTATATTATTATTCATGTTAAATATATCGAATTATATTTATTTTATCTTTATCGCCAACGCATAATAATTGATATTTTAATCTTTAACTCCAAATCATGTTATTCCTAAATTCCTTTTTTTTTTCTTTTTTGTGAAAAAAGAGCTTTATTCAGCTAACCGCATTATGCCTGTACAATTCTACCATCCTTTACAGATAATTAAAGTTCCTGCGGGAGGCTATTGTATGTGTTTGTTTCAACGGTGCCTTTGTTTGCCATCTTGGCCATCCTATCAGCCAACTTGTTTACAATTCTATCATCTTCGCGCGATACATGTCTTACTCTTAAATTCCAGTCTATTTAAAATGTCGAAGATGTGCTTTCGTAGCTCCTTTGTTTCTTCCTTGTTGGATTGGTTTTATGATCTCAGGATTGTCAACTTCTGCTATAATTTATTTGCTTCCTGAATTCCATGCATAGGTGAGGCCCTCGTGGAGTCCTCAAAACTCATATTCTCTGCTCGAGCAGATTCCTATAGATTTTGAAAACCCTATCACCCATGACCCTTCGTGTGAGCATAGTGTTCCACCGCAGGCCGCAAAGCCAGTTGTTTCGTCTCGAGCTCCATCCGTGTTGAGTTTAAAAACCCCTTGCGGTAGCATTTTCCGTTGATTGTCCGCCTTCTGATTGCTTATATCTCCCTTCTTATTCCTCGACCCAACCTGCATCGTCCCAGCATTGTTTCCCAGCATCCTTTGGCTTCTTTCAAGGATCGTTTCATGACCTAAGTTATCCGGATCAAATACGTACTTGTTACGGTTGATCCAGATTCCTAAATTCCTATTTTGTTATAAGGTACAGAAGACATGTATATATTGTTAAAAATTTGAACAACTTGTTGATGCTAACTAAATTTGTATAATGTTTTTTTCTTCTTTTTGAATACTTTGAGGGTGATTATTATAAAGTAACATTTGCTATTTTTTTTTTAATTTATTGATAATGCCCACATTTTACGGACACAGTTGTCCTTTGTATATATTGGCTGGTCTCCTTTGGAGATATTACACCAGTTTTCAATAAAAGTAATAAGATAATACTGTCTCTCGTTCTGTCATTCTTCATTCATCGACGCTAGTTCAAAGACTTAACAATAAATGCATTTGAAACAGTAGTTTTAAACCAATCATATATAAGGTAAAGCGTTCTAGTCAGTAGAAATTTTTTCTTTCGTTCACACTTATTTTTGTATAGTAAATTTAAATATAAATATATAAAAATATATATGATACGTAAATTATGCAGATATTAATTTATATAAATATATTTATTTTAATATTATATGTTTTTAGATTTAGAATTTATATTTTTGTTTAGAGTTTTAATTCTAAGGTTTAAGTTTTAGAGTTTTCTATGTTAAAAAAAGTTTCAGAGTTTCAATAATTGATATTAAAATAAATAAATCTCATATAATTTATGTATTAAATAATAAATTTGTATAAATATATATTTAAAATTTTGAATTTGAAATGTTGGATTGAAATTACTGGTGTAATAGTCATTCGATCATGCTTTCCTACGAAACTTACTACAAATTTTGTTTAATTTCTGTCAAAGACAATTTCTGCTTAAATTCTTCAATGAAATATAAAATAAAAAGACGGCGGGAAACACGCTTTCTATATGGTCCATGGATTTCATCGTATCATTTCTTTGGGATATTAACAATTTTAGCCCACGATTGTTTCAAAAAATATATTTTAGTTTTTAAATTTTTCTCTCTTTTAATCTTTCAATTTTTATTTTTATTTGTTAAATTGAACTAATTAGAAAAAGAGCTAACAGTTCTGTTAAGTTTAGAGAAGCTATTTTGTCTTTTTGTCAATATTAATGTTAAGTATTTCATCCTTTTGGATAAAAATTCAAAAAATAATAAAGTAATAATATATATAAAAATTTAAAAGATATAAATAAATATAATTAAATTATTAAAAATATAATAAAAAAAGATAAAATAGTTGATGTTAACTTGATAGATCTATTGTTTTTCGTCAATTAATTTAAAATTAAAAGTTTAAGGACCAAAGGGTGAAAAAGTTTAAGGGCTCAAAGGCTTTTCTGAAAAGTTTAAAGGCCAAAATTGTCATTAGGCCTTTTCCTTTCTTCTTTGAACGTTCTGCTATCTTTCTCAACGTTTTCCTCCATTTGCATATCCATTATTTATGATCGATCCAAGTCAACTCCGATGTTCTTTTCTATATTGCATGGTGGTTTCCTATCTCGAGAAAGTTCATGTTTACCCAAAATCGTAACTAAAGATAACAACGCTGAGAACACTATAAAATACACTTTTTTTTCCCTGCAAATCATTTCATTCCCTCTATAAACTTTGCTAATTTACACGGCCACTTCATCCTTATTGCTTTCTTTCAAGGAAGTCGTATTCGACAGTTTCCTGTCTCCCAACTTTTTATCCTGTTTCTTGGTTTTGTCTCTCGTACGTTATCCAATTGTTTTTACTCGAGAGTTTTTAAGGTTAATTTTGCATTACTGTTGCAATTGAAAGTGTTTTTCAAAAGCATTGACCAGTTTCCTTCTGGCCTTCAATATTGAAAGGGTCGATGTCTTGGTTAGAACTTTGAGCTTTGGAATTTGGATTTGGTCTCATTGCAAACTTAATTAACCAGTTTCCTTTTTGGTTTTTAAATTCCTGCAGGCCGATATAACAGTAATTCGTTAAGCTCCCCTTCCAGAAACATGCCGACTTCAACAAGTGTATTAGCAATTGAAAACAAGATGATCTCGGAAAATGGAGTTCAACAGGTTGAATTACTTAATGGGGTCGAGGATTTATATGGTGGCATCATTATAGATATAGAGGAAGCTATGGAATCCGAGGCATTCACCTTTTCACTTAGTGCTTCAGTATTACAATGGAAACAGCAAGTCAGAAAATAACATCTATTTCGCTTTACTTCTTAGTAGCTTTCATGCATTTTAAATTGCTAAATCACAAACCTTTCTGCAGGGGAAGAGGGCTGTTTGGATTAAATTGCATATTCAACTCGTTAATTTGGTTGAACCCTCGGTTAAGGTAAATCCATTGAAATTTCGATAGTTTAAACTCTCAAGACTTGTGTTCATTAATCTTTCTGGTTTGACCATTTTCAATGGCGTGCAATTCCATGTTTTGGGTTGGTTAATTACCCAGGAAGGGTTTAGGTACCACCATGCTGAACCAGATTATCTAATGCTTGTGAATTGGATCAGTGATTCGACCAGTACGATTCCTGAAAATGCTTCACACCGTGTGGGGATTGGTGCTTTTATCGTCAATGAAAAAAGAGAGGTAACCCTTTCCTCAATTCTTTTACGTGCTATTCAATTTGCTAAGCATTCTGAATTTTGATCGTCCTATGTTTTAGGTGCTGGTGGTTCAAGAGAATAATGGCAAGTTCAAAGGCAAAGGTGTCTGGAAATTCCCTACTGGAGTTGTTAACGAGGTGAATTAACTAGGAACACGGTGTTATTTTTTTATTTTTTATTTTTTACCTTTTTGGATAGAACTGGAATTTTATGTCCACAGGGTGAAGATATTTCCATAGCAGCAATCAGGGAAGTTAAAGAAGAGACGGGGGTAAGTCAGATAAATGAATAATTCTCAAAGGTTCTCTCTTGCTACCATGAATCTGACCCTGGTGTTTATTTTTCCTTTAGATCGACACTGAGTTCGTGGAAGTTTTAGCATTTAGGTACACGACCTTCTCTTTATGTTCATTTAGGTACTTCTTCTGGTGATTTACATATTGATCTTCCCCCATTACGCAGGCAAAGCCACAGGTCCTACTTTACGAAATCGGATTTGTTTTTCGTTTGCATGTTGCGTCCACTCACCTTTTACATCCAGAAGCAAGATACGGAGATTAAAGCAGCACAGGTATATTCCGGTGAAGAGTGGATGCGTTTAACCATCTCGGATTATCTTTTAACAAACAAATATTGATATCTGTCCTTTTGTTTTATCATTTTTATGCCAGTGGATGCCATTCAACGAGTATGCTGCCCAACCTTTTGTCCAGAAACATGATGCCTTTAGTAGTGTTGCCGATGTATGCTTAACCAAGTTGGAGACGGAATACGTCGGATTCTCCCCTGTTCCGAGAACCACAGCTTCAGGGAAAACTAGTCACTTGTACTTAAGCAGGAGAGATCTGAACAACCTGTAAGCAGCAATGCCAATGTCATTGATAATGAATAAGTGTTTCACGCATACTTGCAATGCTGTCATATAGCATGTTATGTCTATTAAAAAAAACAGGGCACCAGAACATGGGCAAAGCGAATTTCCAGGATAGCAACTTTGATATATTGTTTCTACATCTGCATGTGAGATATTTTAAAATAAGACGGATATTGCATTTACAGCTCAAACATGATGCATTGTAAACTGTAATAGTGTATTCTGTACAGGCAAATTAATGAAAAACAGAAACAAGAAAGAAAAAGAATACAGAAAATGACTCATGCAAGTGGGGCTGAATTTCTTATTGCTCTTTCGCTCACAAACCACCAAACAAATGAAAAAGATAACAAAAGAAAATTTTCAAGTAAGGACACCATTGCTCCTTGTCACATGGCCTATGCAATTTCTATCGATCTGGTAAGTACTTCTTTATCAGTATATGACTATATTCACATCAATAATACCCCAATGCAGAAGCTCACCAACACCATCACTAATCTCCTACCGTCCAATCCCGCAACCCCATTTTCATTATCTGCGGTCTGATCATCAGCTGGATCACTCGGTGCGTCGGATTCCGGGGAGTCGGCCACCACCTTGTGCTTGGACTTGGATGGCTTTGGTGATTCAGCTGGTGAATCAGCCACATCCTCCGCTGGCTTGAACAACTCCCTAGGCAACAATACCTTATTAATCTTGAAAACAATCAATGGCTCCTCATCCTTCAAAGTCCCTGTAATCTTTGCAGTCACAACTTTAGTCTCCAATGTCACCACCTCGCCGTCGTTTTGAATGGTGAAATCGTACTTGTTTGCTCCATCCGTCGCCAGTGTGTTCATAATCCCATTGTTGGATTTCAGCATCTGCATGGACTGATACACGGGAATGCCGTGGTACAACAGCAGGGACGCTTTCTTGGATGCTGTCAAGTTCTTGTATTTGGGCATGAAATCCTTGATGACTGGGTCGGTCGGGCAAAACACAGTTAAACCTCCATCGATGTTTTGGTTGAATGTCGCATCGGCTCCTGAAGATATCAATAAATCTGCAAACGCCTTGCATCCTTGCTTCGACATTATCGCTGTCAGATTAAGCTGGCTTGGCTCTGCGGTTGGTGCTTCCGCTTCGGCTGAATTTAACGGCTGAACTAAAATCAAATAATTAGCTAATCATCAACAATACTAAGAAACAAACAATTGAGAAAACAATATACATATATACCTGACTGATTTGTAAGACAGAGATGTTGTAAGGAAGCTCTGCTACGGCTTTAACGTAAACAGCATCGAGTTTTCCGTCATTATTTTCAGCCCCGAATCCCACTTTTCCGCCTTTAAGATCGGTTATGTTGATGTAGCCTGAGGAACCAGGAGCAGCACCGGTAGCCTGGAACATGGTGGAGGTCAAAGCTGTTCCATTCGTAATCTGGTGAAGCTTCTTGGAACCGAAGTAGTCGACGAGCACATGGAGAGACAGGACATTCTTGAGGGTGTAGAGGGAGAGCTGTTTAGATAAGAGAGATGACATGGCGGCATTGTTGAGGGCGAGTACAGTTATGGTTTGGCGACGGTTGATCTCGGCAGCCAAATGAGTGACGGTGAGGTAGTGGTTAAAGGTGGAGAATTCGGGGTGCTTGGCGAGGATGCGGGTGATGTTGTGAGCATTTGAGGTGGAGAAGAGGAGGAAGAAGAGGGCAAGAGAAGGGAAGAGGGAGGTGGTAGCTGGTGACATGGTGGCTTGTAAATGGAGTAGTAGTGGGAAGTGGGTTGGATCTGGGGAGGATGTGGTCGTGTCTGAGTTTAAGTAGAGCGAAGTGGGGAGATTTTTGGAGTATTCGACGGCTTATCATTGCCAACTAATTAAAGGCTGGGATTGGACCCACATGTAAAAGTGGGTCCATTGTCCTCAGTTTAACGGCTCCCCTTCTATTCCATTTTTTTTTTTTTTTTGCATAAATATAGCGGTGGATTGAACCACCGGCAAAGGATTTTATAATTGGAATTAGCTTTAGGCATTGGGTAACTTGAGTTGCAATTTATTCTTGCCCCAAAGCGAACTCAACCTTTGTGTAAGTAAGACCTTCACTCTTCCTACTGGAAAACAAATTCGGATTCAGTTTAATTTAATTGATGCTGTTTGTTTAAAATGAAATGACAGGTAACACCATGTATTTTTATATTATTAACAGCTGGAATCCATTGGACTATATATTTTATGTTATTTTATTTTTGGAGGGAGCCGATGGGTGATTTGAATCGACGTGGGTGCTGTGGGTGGCTGCATTCCTTCAATTATTGGCAATAAAGTCCTGCATAGTTTTGTTGATATTTAGGTTTACTTTTTCGTACACGTAGATAAATGGTAGAATCCACGGTGCAAGCTTATCGCCTCAAGTCACTTGTCAACATTCTCTTTCTCCTTTAATTTTGATTAGTTTAATGCAATTATATACTATGAATAGTTGGAGATTACTAAGGTGGGTTAAGGTGTGGGAGCCACACGTGTCGGCAGGAACGTGCTAGACCGTTTAGCCACATTGGCACGCACGACGACGCCAGAGCTCCACCGACACTTCACCTCCTCCATGGCTCAAACAAAACATAGTTGAGCTAAGTAAGTTAATGGACTAAGTGGATCAATCCCCTTATATGTAAATGGATTGGATTGCTCACATACAAATTGGATCCATTCATCTTACACAACCTCAAACCCAATTCTAATTATTTTCCTTTCTTATATAAACTTTGATTTTTCTTCAAATCCACACCATCTATTCTATTCAATATTCTTTTCTCCGCATTCAACTATTCTCCGTGGCGGTTACTAAATCTGCTCATTCTCTAACGCAATTCAAGAGTTACAAACAAATCGACAGGATCTTTGGAGCAGTGGTGGTGGCCGTTCATGGCCATCTCCCTGCCCTTTTGTTCCCATTTTTTTGTTATTTCCTTTTATTTTTATTAGTTTTCACTTTTAGTTTTATCATAGTTTAATATTAATGTTTTCTCTTGGTCATTTTTCTAATAAAACGTATCATGGCTATCGGTATTTATGGATTTTCAATGTAGGTTTATTTCTTGGTTTTTCTTCTTGATCTGTATTTCAACATGGTTTCATGGATGTGATTGCCTTTCAAGGGAGATTGTATTATTCGTTTGTTGTTTTGGATATTCTTCAAGTTTTTCTCTTCCATTGTTGGTGCAATCAGCTTATATATGTCGTTACTTCATTTCTTCATATTTTTTGCTTATCAAACTATCACTAGACGATCATTATAAAATTTTATGATAGTTTCGATTGTATTTGTTTGATATGTAATTGGCAAGACGTTGATACGATTTTCGATAAATGAATATTTACCCGTATTATTTTTAAAAAAATTATATTTTCTATTTTAATTTTAAATGGCATCACTATCCTCATATTTAATTTTTTAGAAGAAACTGACAAGTTTTCAACATGCCTATTGTATCGAAAACCAACTTTTCTACATATAAATTAAAATAGAAAATTTTTCCTTTGGAAACAAATATTACAAATTTACTTGTACTAAAAAGATAATTAGCAAATTACTAGTAACATTAATTACCAACAAGTGTAGAGCCTCTCAAGCAGGTTGATTTATTATTATTATTATTATTATTATTATTATTATTATTATTATTATTATTAGGGTAAAGTATATAAATAGTCCCCAAACTTTTAAAGCACTTGCATTTTGGTCACTTAACTTTTAAAACTTGCAATATAATCACTGAACTTTTAGATCGTTTTTAGTCAGGTCCCTGACGTACCTCCCGTTAATTTTATCAAATGTGGCAGTTAACTCCGTTAACCTCCCTTCTTCTTCTTCTTCAAGAGCTTAAACCCATAGCAATTAAAAAAACATGGATTCATTCCACGTTTGGTGATTGAACCTTCTACTAATGATTCTATCCATTTGTTTTTTTTGGGGTATGATACAGCTTGATACTGCAGTTTTACAATTTTAGAATCAAAAGCTTGTACAAAAGCTAAAGGCTCAGAAGGTCGAGTGTTGTACTCTTGAGAACAAGTTCATTCAAATGAAGGAGAAATAAAATATATAAAAGAGTTTTTCCTAACCTAGAAGCAACCTTGATGCAATCACTGACCATATGTAAAATTCAGCACAAAACCCGACATCGTTTATCTTTCATTACATGAAACAAATCAAATACCTCTTACAAGTATTCAACACTTACCGATTTCCAAGCTTTTGATGTAAATCAAGTATGGTATCTGTTGGGAAATAAACAAGTAACGAGTAATTTCCCTATAACCAGATTAGTGAGAATGCGAAATAAAAGCGGAAAAATAATACCCGAAATTGATAACGGAGTTCAGCCAATTTGCTTACGTCTCCGGACTGCTGCAGATCTTTTAATAAGAGAGAAAATTTACAGGTGTTTACAAAACACTCACTACTCACAAGAAAGCTCTCTAGTATTGGGAGAAAGAAATGATTTTTGGGATGATTTTGAAGCTAAATGAGCTAGGGTATTTATAGTTGAAGCTTAGGGACTAATCTTTAAAAATACCCTAAAGTTCAATGACTCAATTTTGTAATTATCCCTATTACAAAATAATAAAAATTTTAGCAGCCTAATTTTTCAAGCAGTCGGCTGCTATTAGCAGCCCATGTTTTTTTTTTAATTTTCAACAATCTCCCACTTGAAGACTGATTTTAATCTGTCTTCACACCTCGATCGATGCAACAGTATTTCTAGTCTTGTTATTCTAGCATGGCCACTGAAGCTGAACACAACTTCAGTTTGTCCATAGTCACCGTCTTTGTCAACATGTCTGCCGGATTTTGAGCTCCACTAATCTTTTCAAGCTTCAAAATCTCATCTTCTAGGAGAGACCGGATAAAATGATATCTCAATTGTATGTGTTTCGTCCTGGAATGAAAAGATGGATTCTTCGCTAGATGGATAACACTTTGACTGTCGCAATACAAGACATTGTTTTCTTGTTTCTTGCCTAACTCTTCCAAGAAACTTTGGAGCCAAACCATCTCCTTGCTAGCTTCCGTAAAAGCAACATATTTTGTTTCAGTTGTGAAGAGAGCAACTATCTTTTGTAGTTGAGAAACCCAACTAACTGCGGTTCCTCCTAGAGTATAGACATACCCTGTAATGCTCCTTCTGATGTCAACATTTCCAGCTAAGTCAGCATCTACATAGCCTGTTAGTATCATATCTCCACCTTTGAAACAAAGTGCTTTTTTTGTAGTACCCCGCAGATATATGAGGATCCATTTGTCTGCTTCCCAGTGTACCTTGCCTGAATTATTCATGTACATGCTAACAACTCCTACTGCTTGAGCAATATCTGGTCTGGTACAAACCATGGCATACACCATACTTCCAATTGTTGAGGCATACGGCACCTTCACCATGTGTGCATGTTTTTCCTCCGTCTTTGGTGACTGTTCTTTAGAGAGTCTGAAGTGAACACCTAAAGGTGTACTTACTGGTTTAGCATCTTGCATGTTGAACCTGGAGAGTACTTTATTGATGTACTCAGCCTGTGATAATATCAAAGTCCCTGACTTTGTGTCTCTCTTGATCTTCATCCCAAGAATCTGCTTTGCAGCGCCCAGATCCTTCATAGCAAACTGCTTCTACAATTTTTGCTTCAAGTTTATAATCTCTTGCATGTCTGAGCCTGCAACGAGCATGTCATCAACGTACAACAATAAAATAATGAAGCTATTGTCGAACCTCTTGATGTAGCAGCAATGGTCTGCTTAGCATCTGGTAAAACCATTGCTACCCATGAAGCTATCGAACTTCTTATACCACTGTCTAGGAGCTTGTTTTAAACCATACAAGCTCTTCTTCAACCTGCATACCAGGTTTTTCTTGTCTGCCTTTATGAAGTATTTTGGCTGCCTCATATAGATTTCTTCCTCCAAATCACTATGAAGGAAAACTGTCTTTACATCTAACTTGTAACACTCTTAACCCGTATATGTCTCAATATACTAGTTAAAGATATCACATCAACTTGAAAACATTTACTGGACTAAAATTTCCGTAAAAAAAAATTTGTTTCGTTTGAAAACACTCTGGTTCTAACTTTAAAAATATATTTTAAAGTATATTTCAGCTTATAATTTATTTCTTTATTACATGAAAATAAATTCATTATTTATTCAGTAATTTTACTAGACCATATCTTTTCATAAAATCTTTTAAAAATATAATAATGTAGTAAATTCTTGTCATACATAGATACCGATAAAACTAAATTAAGTAAAATAAACTAAAATAATTATAGTTTATTATTACAAATTATTTAAAATAAATACGATAATTAGAAACTACTGACATAATTATACATGCCACTATAAGTCAAAAGAAACGTCATAGACATCTTATTGATACTGATGATATGTATGTCTTTCCATAAAGATGCTCCGATAGCTCCTTACTGATCGTACTTGTCCTTATTAGAACCTACGCATGAAAATCATCACGCGCTAAGTATAACTTAGTGAGGCAATAATAATCTAGGGTGAGTAAAATCTGAAATTTATCATAAACGTAAATAAAATAATTCAACTTAAAACATTAAACTGGCAAACCAACTTATCCAAGTCGATTTCTTCACTGAGACCTGAAATTTCTTTTTAAATCATGAACTCATAAAAATTCTGATAAATCATATCTAATAAAATAAGCACATCATGCTTTCTGTTAACTGAAAATCATTCACAACTTGCATATTCATTTTCATAGCCCAATGCATATTTATAAGAACATAAGATACGTGAGTAAGGTGCGCACTA